GCACACGCACGCGCGCGCACGCACGCACACACGCACGCACGCATGCACGCGCGCACACACACGCACGCACGCGCACGCACGCGCGCGCGCGCACGCACGCACGCACGCACGCGCGCGCACGCACGCACGCACGCACGCACGCACGCACACACACGCACGCACGCACACGCACGCACGCGCGCCCACACACACGCACACGCGCGCACACACACACGCACGCGCGCACGCACGCACACGCAGCGATGTGAAATTAGTGGAGAGACGCGAACTGGGAAGGTGCGACAGAGATTTTAGGGTTTCACGCTCATGGGGGCAATGATTGAAGGCGGCCCTCGATCTAGCCGATAAAACTGAAAATATTTATATATTATACATTTATATATATATTATACAGATAAATAACATTGAACATATTTACATGAATGTATTTTATTTGACCAGGTACGGCCCAATGCTCTGAAGCCACCCCGGCTATCACAAATGATGGCTCAACGAGAGTGCCTGATCATCATCACGTGGAAATTAATTGCAGCCAACTACTCGAGAAACGCGCGATTGTTGTTGGTTCTAAATGTGGAGGGTGGAAGAAAAAAAAAACGGAGGACCCGGAGAAAAATCCACGCGACCACGGGGAGAACACACACACTCCAAATATACAGCAGGCTTCATACTCTTAGTTCTTTCGGTAAAGTCACGTAGGTAAAAAATGAAATAAAAATAAATACAAATAAAATAAAAATCACGACGTTTCGGAGGCATCACTTGATGCAGCAAATCTGGCTGTGACGGTGTCCCACCTGATGACGGAGACTTGTGTTGCCTCTGAAACGTCGTGATTTTTATTTTATTTTTATTAATTTTTATTTCATTTTTTACCTATGTGACTTTACCGAAAGAACTAAGAGTATGAATCCTTGCAGTCACGAAAGCTTCAAATCTAGAATTATACAGCGGGCGTCAGGGTCGGAATCGAAACGACGACCTCCTGTATACCGGGCGAAGTATTTAACATCTCGCCACCAAGGCAGACAGGGGAGGGGGGGGCCGGGGGGGGGGGGTGTTTGGGAAGAAAATAATTAACCCGTAAAAACAAAGTTTTTCACTATAAATCCTTTATATGCGTGGCGGCGAGAGTCCTCTCGTCCTCTGGCTTGAGATGGCTGCCACCTATGGGTCAGATGATTGCCTGCCACCATTAAGCAATTGGTAATTAAATCAAAAAATGTTTTTCCTAAAAAGTGTAAAGTTATGGAAAAAAAATTTCACGAAAATAAATTGTCACGCACAACGAGTCTGTGTGCAAAATGTCAGCTCGATTGGATCACGGGAAGTGGGTTAAAAAACGACCGAAAGATTTGCATGGTCTTAAGCGCGCAAGCAAGCAAGCAAGTGAACTTAATATAAAGGATAAAAAAAAAGCAAACTTGTCAATGAAAAACCAAAACCTCCCACCAACGTTGCATACAGAAAAGACGGCGGTCACCACGTCGCATTCAGACGCGCTTCAAAGGCCGTCTGGAACGCTCTTCCCTACCGATTTTCGGAAGCCACTGGAGCAGCTATGCGCTTTTAAATCATCTAGATTGACCAATTCATTTTTATTCAGAACTTATTTTTTCGTATCTACTTGGTTCTAAAAAAAAAAATACAATTGTATTTTATTGTTTTATTTCTGTTATTTCCCTTCTACGTGACTTTACCGAAAGAACCAAGAAGATGAATCCCTGCAGTCACGAAAGCTTTAAATCGACATGTATTTTTTTGTATTTTTAGTTTGCGGTCCTTCTCCCCCCACCTTCTCCTCCGATGAGCACGGATGGCCATGTACGGTGGACGAAATAAGTTCAACATACACATGCCCGGCGGGGTGGAAGGAGCGGTTGGGGGGTGGAGTAATTTCTTCTGGATCTTTCCGGAGGATTGACGGCCCAACGATAATTTCCACCCCACGGCGCACACCACATTCCAGTCCACTTCTCGCTGTGGGAGTGGCCCCCATTCATCCTGCACCACCTAGCAGCACCCCAGTCAATGAACATACCACATTGGGATCGTCAAGATGAATCACCTGCGTGTGTGCGCACGCCAGCTGCACGGGCGTGGTGCTGGCCCACCCTGATGTTGAACTTCTTTCGCACCGTACGTAGCCGACCGTGCCAATTTGGACGCTGCGGGGAAAGGACGGCAAACTCAACACAACCAGCGGTTCTAATGACAAACGAGTTTTCAATCGAGATTTTAAAGTGCATATAGCTCCCAGTGGCTTCCGAATATCGGAAGAGCGCGTTCCAGACGGCCGCAGAAGCGCGTCTTAAAGCGCGCGATGCGGCGATCGTCTTTGTTCGATGAGCAACAGCGAGGATGAACAATTCTAGATTTGAAGCTTTCGTGACTGCAAGGATTCATACTCTTAGGTTCTTTCGGTAAAGTCACGTAGGTAAAAAATTTATAATAGAAAAAATAATAGAAATAAAATAATAAATCACGACGTTTCGGAGGCAACACAAGCTTCCGTCTTCAGGTGGAACCGTCACAGCACGACTGCTGTATCAAGATACATTTTATTTCTATTATTTTTTCTATTATTTATTTTTAGTATTTATTTTTTTACCTACGTGACTTGACCGAAAAAACCCAAGAGTAGGATGAACACTGTTTGCGTGAAGACGTGTTGCGCTCCTTGACGAGATCGGCAAAGGTCGGTGCTTCACGTGTGCTACTCGCCAACAGCAGCAGCAGCTGCCCCGCGGTCTGCCGAGGCTCCACGTGGGTGACCTTTTGCCCTCGATGCGCCGCAGGTTCTATGGACCATCGTCACCGCGACTGACGCCCGCCACACATTTAAGGCCCGACGTGGGACACCGCGATGCGCGTCGGGACATTTTGTTGCATTTAGACGGAGGCGCTGACGTGGATCTTTTTTTCCCGGAAGGTAGACGAAGCGGTGTTTCATTTAAAGCTCTCTCGTCTCGGACGCCCCGGGGGCTGCGGGCTCTGAAAATAGAACCCAGCTTTGTTCTGTCAAGATGCCCCCGGGTCTCCCTCCCTAAATCTCTCTGCTCGGTCTCGCTCTCTCTCTCTCATCCTCCACTCCGTCTGTCACAAACTCGCGCTCTCCCCCCCTCTGGGCTCGGTTGAGTGGGGGGGGGGGGGAAACATTTCGGGTCCACTTTAGTTGACAATTCTTCTTGGATAATGCCTCCCGCGAGCTCTCTGTAGGCTAAACAGAGGCGAGCAAAGATAAAGATCCCCCGTATAGCCTGCAACAGACTGTAGGGGCAAGTGCTGTTAGCGAGAACCTATAAAGGCCGGCACGGCACACGAGGGGGTGGGTGGGCAACACCACGCCCGGCCGCCTTTGTCTCCCTAAGTGGCGATGTTTACACATCGCACCAGGTACTCATTTGGAGGCTGAGTTGACCTAGGGGGAGGCCCAGGGCCGGTTCAGACAATCGTCACTGATGTTGCCCGCGAGCGGGAATCGAACTCGGGTTTGTAGCGCAGCACGCAAACCACTACACTACCACTCGAGCGTACACACACGCAGCTACAAAGACAAAGCTCCCCCATATAGCCTTAACAGACTGTAGGGGCAAGTGCTGTTAGCGAGCACCTATGAAGGCCGGAACGGTACACGAGGGGGGTAGGTAACCAACACAACGCCCGGCCGCCTTTGTCTCCCTAAGTGGCGATGTTTACACATCGCACCAGGTACTCATTTGGAGGCTGAGTCGACCTAGGGGAGGCCCAGGACCTGTTCAGATCAACAGACACACTCTCGCAGTCGCTCTGGATTCAAAGACACGCTCCACACTCTCCTCTCTCTCCCCATCTCTCCCTGCTTCTCTTTCTCTCTCCATCCATGCATCTTCTCGTTCTACTCCCCCCCCCTCCCCCCGTCTCTTTATCTGTAAAAACACACACTCAATGCAAACTCTGTGAAATAAACAACAGAGACAGAGACCAAGAAACATAAAAAAAAACTGTTTTGGCCAACACCGCTCTTTTAATTTAATCCAGTCCACGTGGTTTTTTTTTTTCAAGTGATTTATTATTTAGTTATTAATATATATGACTATGTACAGCTTTTATTAATCGTGTTTATTTACTTATTCCACATCTCCCTTATAATCCTCTTTTAATAAAGTGATAAAAGTGGCAAACGTACATTTGACTCTCTCTTTAGCAAAGGTTAAAAAAAAAATGTTTCCGATACCCGGAGCCGCAACAAGCATTGGTGATTGGATATCGATCGATGTTGATTTTTAAAAAGGACTCGGGATTGATCCGGATTGGTTTCGGGAGTTCAAGAGATAGTTTATGGTTTAAAATGGCATTACCGGCGGACACTCATCCGATCCAGAACCCTCGTCTCATCCGATACGGAATCCCCGTTTCATCCGATACAGCACGCTTGCTGTTGTACAGAGTCTGTGGCACCGAACAGAGAACGGGTGTTGAATCCGATGCAGAACCATCGGCCCATCTCATGACGAGCCATTTCACCCGATGCAGAACCGTCGTCGCGTCAGATTGAGAACTCCCGTTTCACCGGACACAGAAACCTCCACCCCCCCCCCCCGTCCATCACGTGCAGTGTCATCCAACGGTCGATCGCCCGCGTAACGCCAGTACGTATAAATTAACGCTACAAATAACGTAACGACATGCGATTAAACACAAACAAAATGTGCAAACCACTATTTGGCGACTAACCGACAATTCGCGACCGACTGCCACCCCAAGGCTCTCGCCAATTACGCCAACGGTGAATCACGACCCGAGGTTGCAAATCATCACCGTCGTCACCGCGTTCGCAACCGATGGAACCCGCACTCACGCGCGCGCGTGTGCGGCCGCGTGCGCCTGACATACACAAGACAAGCATCTCCACACAACAGCCTGGACGGACCGAGCTACGGCTGTTGGCGAGCACCCATTAAGGTCGGCAGGACGCGCGAGGAGAGTGACGTGGCCGAAACCAGACCCGCCCGCCCGCCCGCCGGACCGGCCGGCCGGAGAATCTCTACCCACGCCACCCGCACTCATTGCGAGCGGTACCAGGTACTCATTGAAGGCCGAGTTGACATAGGGGAACCCCAGGACAGGTTCAGACCCTACTCCGCCACTAAGATCACACTCGCGCACACATGCACACATGCACTCGCACACAAAAGACAAAGACCCCCCCCATATAGCCTAAACACACTTTTGGGACAAGTGCTGTGAGCGAGCACCTATGTCTCCCCAATGCTGATGTTTCGACACTGCACGGGCTGTTCAACCCGGTCGAGTCAACTTCAGGGAGGTCTAGGACCAGAGTGGAAATTGAATTCGAGTCGCTGGGTTCGTAGTGCGGTGCGCTAAAGCACTGCACCAAAGATAAAGATCGCCCCTTATAGCCTTAACAGATTGTTGGGGCAAGTGCTGTTAGCGAGCATCTATATAGGATGGCACGGCACACGAGGGGGTGGGTGGCCAACACCACGCCCGGCCGCCTTTGTCTCCCGAGTGCCGATGATGTACACACCGCACCAGGTACTCATTTGATGCCAAGTCGACCTAGGGGAGGCCCGGGAACGGTTCAGATGATCGTCACTGGGTGTTGGCCGTGAGCGGGAATCGAACCCGGGTCGCCAGATTCGTAGCGCATCGTGGCGCTAACCGCGATGCCGCCGCTCCCTACACACACACACAAAGATACTCGCACACACAAACAACTCACACACCCAGCCACCTAGTCTCCAACCCAAGGCTGATATATTATCAAGACCCACAACCACTAACAGCACTGCCACACCTGGTATTACTTCAGGCAGAGTCAACCTAGCGGTGGCCCAGGCCAGTGCAGTTACTAAATGGTGACGTGCATCGCGGCTAGGAATCGAACTCGGGTTGCCGGGATTCGTGGTGTGGTGTGTGAACATCTGCTCCACCGCTCCCCATGTAACCTATAGCGATATGTACACATCTATATACACAAGAATATGTACACACTGATACATATGTACAATACAGGAACCGATGCATTCACAGCATTGGTAGGTGTGTATCCTGTGCGTATACGTGTGTGTTTACACACAAAACAAAGATCCCCGTATAGCCTAAACAGACTGTTGGGGAAAGTGCTGTTAGCGAGCACCTACGAAACCCGGCATGGCACACGAGGGGGTGGGTGGCCATTACCACGCCCGGCCGCCTTTGTCTCCCCAATGGCGATGTTTATACACTGCACCAGGTATTTATTTGAGGCAGAGTCGACCTAGGGGAAGCCCAGGACCGATTCAGATAATCGTCACTGGGTGTTGGCCGTGAGTGGAAATCGAATTCAGGTGGCCGGGTTCGTAGCGCTAACCAATTCACTGCCGCTGTGGTTACACACACACACACACGTGTACGTACAGACATGCACACAAAGTAACATTCATAATGAAAACGATTCGAATCAAATTAAAGTCTACCATGGCATGTTAATTAAAATAAAATGGACATGCCAGATTTGCATAATTGCCTGCATTCAAATGTAATGGAATCCATCTCGTAAGCATTGAATTTTTCAGATAAAAAAAAAACTATTACCCAGTATTAAGGAGCATCTTTGCATTGGGATGTTTGGCCAATTACTTTTAGAAGACGAACGTTTAGTACCAACATAAGCAGTGCCTGGAGAAAGCCACGTGTAGGGTACGGGAATAACTTGCAAAACTCAACTATGGCAAGAGAACCTTGAACAACCTACTTGCTGTACTGGGTCAATAAAATATAGAAGCGATCGTCTTGACAGTAGATTAAGTGCACGCAACATATATAGATATGATTTGTAAAACAACTTGGCACCATCATCATTAACATTGCCTCAAACACAGATAAAAACGTGTGTTTACTCTACATGTCTGCGTCTTAAGACTGGCTAAGAGACTGTTTGACTCTGCGAATGAACAATGGATTGTATATGATAATATAACAAAAAATATCCAGTGTTCTACGAGTGACCCCCAATGCAATGTGCCGTCTCAAAGTACGAGTCGGTCAATCGTGTTGCCCTCTCCACCACCACGACCACCATCACCGTCGTCACCATCACCACCGCCACCACCACCACCACCGTCGTCACCACCGTCGTCACCGCCACCACCACCGTCGTCATCACCACCACCACCGTCGTCACCACCACCACCGCCACCACCACAGTCACCATCAACGTCGTCACCACCATCACCACCATGACCACCGTCACCACCACCGTCGTCACCACCATGGCCACCGTCACCATCACCATCACCACCATGACCACCGCCACCACCACCGTCATTCACCACCACCAGCGTCGTCACCACCATGACCACCGTCACCACCACCGTCGTCACCACCGTCGTCACCACCATGACCACCGTCACCATCACCACCACCACCGTCGTCACCACCATGACCACCGTCACCATCACTTCACACCAGCAGCAGAGAGGGTTCATTGTTGTCTTCATATCATCATCAGTCATTATCAGCAACATCACCATCATCGCTGCTGCTGCTGTCGTTATCCACGTCATCGCCGTCGCATCCACGACCATCGTCACCGTCGCCATGGTCACGCCACAACAATATCACCGCCGCCACTGTTGTTATGCCCATCGTCATCAATGCGCCGCCGCCACCACCGCCATCACCCACCGTCGCTACCATCACCGGCATCAGTGTGACCAGTGCTATCGCCACCACCATTCTCGTGACCACCACCATCATTATCATCGTTGTCACCATCAACATTGTTATCGCCATTCCTATAACCATCCCCGGGCGTCATCGCCACCGTCACCACCACCAATGTCATTCCCATCACCATCGACACCACTTTTGTCGCCGTTGCTGCCAGTGTTACAACGGTCACCGCCACCACCACAGTCACCATTACCAGTGTCACCGCCACCATCACCACGATCACCACCATCACCACCACCGTCATCATCATCATTGTCAGTGTTATCACCGTCAACATCACCGTTACCAGTGTCACCGCCGCCACCGTCACCACCGTCACCATCACACCTCCGTCTGCAGGTCGCCCTCCTGGTAGACCAGCGGCAACTCCGCCCCGGGCCGCTCGCACTCCACCGATCGCCGCGGGGGGCGCAACGGCAGAGGGGGCGGCAGCTGCTGCTGCTGCTGCTTCTGCTGATGCTTCTGCTGCTGCCCTGCAACAGCCGCCGAGCAGCAGGTAGCAGCGGACGAGGAGGAGGCGGAAGAGGAGGCGGAGGAAGAGGGGGCGGGGCACGGGGTATAGGCCGGCGGGCGCCGAGTGCTCGCTTGGGGGAAGAGGAGGGGGGGGCCGCCCTGGTGAAGGCCGGGGATACGCGGGACCCCTCCCCCGCCGTGGGCGTAGGGGGGCGGCAACAGGGGGTGCGCCTGATGCGTCGCGTGCGCTTGCTGATGCGCTTGCTGGAGCGACAGCAACTGCAGCTGCTGCTGCTGGTGGAGCGCGTGAGTGAGCGGTTGCTGCTGCATCAGTGGCTGCGTCGGGTGCGGCTGCTGCAGCGACAGCAGAAGCAGCTGCTGTTGCTGCTGCTGCTGCTGCTGGGCGGACAGCGGCTGCTGCATGTGTGGGTGCGAGGGGTGCGGAGCGGCGTGCGCAGGTTGAGCCGTCCTGCTCCGCAGCGGCTCCTGCGGGAATAATCGCGAGTTGGGAATTACGATCGGCGTGTGCTGACCGCAGCGCGTCGCGTTCCCGTTACCCCCTTGCCCCTTGCACCCCGACCCCCGTCCCTACCCACCTTCTCCCCCCGCCCCCCCACCACACCGTTAAGGCCTTGCTAACACGCGGGCAACTTTAGGGGCAATCACTGGCGACAACAGTCCGAGCGATTATGAGAGACACGATACGGGCGATGGTATAGAGCGGCGTGTCGGCAGCCTGCGGCTTCGGAGCCGCACGCGGCACTTTAAGGACTGCAGTGCAGGCTCTTGACCAGTTCACCATGGGAGTCCAGCTCACCATGGTAGCCCAGTTTAACGTGGGAGTCCAGTTCACCGTGGTAGTCCAGTTCACCATGGGAATCCAGTTCACCATGGTAGTCCAGTTCACCATGGGAGTCCAGTTCACCGTGGGAGTTTAGTTTACCATGGGAATCCAGTTCACTATGGTAGTCCAGTTTACCATGGGAGTCTAGTTCACCATGGAGGGGTCGGCAAACTGCGGCTCCGGAACCGCACGCGGTGGCTCTTCAAGGACCGTTTCGTGACGGCTCTTGAAATATTTTTTTTTTTTTTTACAGAATTCCCAAAAAAATCGGCTCCTCTTGTTGTTTTGGTTGCCGACCCCTGGGATAGAGTGACCGATCACCACGACCCCAACGTCAACACTAACGATGACGCCGACAAAAAAACGCTGACGCCAACCCATAAAAAAAAACGCTAACCACAGCCCCGATACCGACCCTAATAACAAACCGTAACAATAACCACGACGCTGGCCATATATCCCTGATACTGATGCTCAGGAGGCGTTCATCCAGCAACGGACAGAAGGCGCGAGAAGGAACCCGAGCCGAGCTGGTGAAGGCAGCAGCCAACTTAATTTGGAGCTTTCGTGACTGCAGGAATTACTCTTTGGTTCTTTCGCTAAAGTCACGTATAAAGATAAAATAATAAATTAAATACTAGCATACGACGTTTCGATTGCGACACAAGCAATCATGATCAGGTATAAATGAAATAGAAACACAAATCTAGTACACTTAGAAATGTAATGTAATACAACAGAGAGTCGGATAACATAACAGTCAACACCCTAACTGCTTGATTACGTTCTTCCTGAGAATGCTAAATTTGAGACTTTACCGAAAGAACCAAAGAGTTAGGCAGCAGCAGCCGCGGCCACGCAGTGGAGCCAGCACCAACAACTGCCCAAGAGTTCTATGGTCCTCCATATCTGAAGGCGTTCTCGGTCAATTAAAGAAATGTTTAAAAATGTGGGAGGAAATCGGAGCGCCCGGAGAAAAATCTCGCGTGCAAAGGGCGGACACAAACAGTCGATCCCGTAAAGACGGGGGTTGTGCAGCAGCATCTGCGTGGTGATCCGCCAACCTTCGCCAGGGAAAACCTATTCTCATATTTTGGTACTGGCAAAGGAGTTCCCATGATGTAGATGCTCACCCCGAGCTCTCATTACTCTGATAGTGCATTGTCTTTGTACTGTACAACTTTTGGTGTCCTCTGGTCTAACACCTTTTGAGACGAGGCTCCAAAGAAAGCTGTCTCTGGTGTGGACCAATCAGTTTCAAAGACAATGCATATACAAGAGTATTTTTTTTTTGCATTCAAACCACACGTATTGTGGTTAATGCAGACATGATTCTTTGTAAAAGGTTTCATTTTGGTGTTTAAACATCTTAACACAGCTGTTTTGTTGCCAGAAAAAAGGTGGAAAACCTGCTGGATTACTTACAGGCAGCCAACACCACCAGCAGCAGCAGCGGCAGCACAGCCACCTCCGCTCTTAACCCACCACGAACGCAGAAAAAACCCACAACACTAACCGCGGCATCAGCCGCAGCACCAACGTCCAGCGATGATCGCCGAGACTTCACATCCTTTACCTCCGAGTCCACCTTGACGGTGTCTTTGTCCATGAACGGCTGGTTCAACATCTCCTTGTGTCTCTTTCTCGTGTGCATGATTTTCTGCAGGCGGCAAGAAGGGGCGGACGCAACGGTCAAACGCGTTTTTTTTTTTGCGCGCCTACCGAAACCTGACCGCGCGCCTCGCGATCACGAGAGTCAACGTCCGGATGTGTGTGCATGTTGGGATTTCATTCGCACCGAACGTAGCCGACCGTGCTAATCGGAGGTATGAGGGGGGGGGGAAAGGGCAACAAACGAAACTAAAAAAGCAGTTCTCAAAGAAACGAGTTGTCAATCTCGATGATTTCAAAGTTCATTGCTCCAGTGGCTTCCGAATATGATAAGAGCACTGCAGACGGCCGCAGAAGCGGATCTGAAAGCTCGCAAAGCGGTGACCGTCTTTGTTCGATGGCTGGCAGCTAAAAGCCGCTGCTGCGAGCTTCACCGGAGTTCGTGTGATGGTTTACGCAACCGTCACGCAATGGCCGGCTCGGTGGGGAGCGTGTGGTGAGCGTGTGGGGAGCGTGTGGCGAGCGTGTGGCGAGCGTGTGGTGAGCGTGTGGCGAGTGTGGTGAGTGTGTGGTGAGCGTGTGGTGAGCGTGTGGTGAGCGTGTGGCGAGCGTGTGGCGAGCGTGTGGCGAGCGTGTGGTGAGCGTGTGGTGAGCGTGTGGTGAGCGTGTGGCGAGCGTGTGGTGAGCGTGTGGTGAGCGTGTGGTGAGCGTGTGGTGAGCTTGTGGTGAGCGTGTGGTGAGCGTGTGGTGAACGTGTGGCGAGTGCTCTGATGAGGGTTGACCATCATCATCGTCGCCGCCGTTCTTTCTCCAGAATAGATCAAATGAGGTGTGTGTAGGACGTTCGTTTTGTAGATGATAAGCGCAATACATCTTAATTCTAGATTTGAAGTTTTCGTAAAGTCGCGCAGGTTAAAAAAGAAAACAACTAAATTAAATCACGACGTTTCGGAGGCGACACAAGCCTCCGTCTTCAGGTGGAGCCGTCACAGCAAAATTACCGTATCAAGATGTAACAATTCATCTTGTTTATACTTCTACAACACAACCACGGTGGCAAAATGTTAACTACCTCGCCTAGTATACAGGGGGTAAGTGGGTTTGACCCCGACCCTGATGCCTGTTCTATTTGGAGTTTGCATGTTCTCCCCCGTGGTCACGTGGATTTTTCTCCTGGTCCTCCGGTTTTTCCCTCCACATTTAGAAACGTGCGTTTAGAGTATTTGTCTGCTGTACATTTCCTAATGATGAGCCACTTCGTTGTGCTATCATTTGTGGTCAGCACTTCTGAAAAAGAGCTATATAGCTCAGTGGGCCTTACCTGGTAAAATAAAAAATAGTTTAATAGTTTAGTAAATCTTCTTGGTTCTTTCGGTAAAGTCACGTAGAAGGGAAGTAATAAAATAATAAAAATAAAACATAATAAAATAATTCTCACGACGTTTTGGCCACAACGCAAGCAGCCGTCTTCAGGTGAAAACCAGACGCTGTCGCCTCGACAGGCCTGGTTTTCACCTGAAGACGGCTGCTTGCGTTGTGGCCGAAACGTCGTGAGAATTATTTTATGTTTTATTTTTATTATTTTATTACTTCCCTTCTACGTGACTTTACTGAAAGAACCAAGAAGATGAATCCCTGCAGTCATGAAAGCTTTAAATCGAAATGTAATTCTTCAATTTGACAAAATTTGGATCGTGACGCCGGTGCACGGTGGCCTACTGCTCTCTCGCGAACGACGTCAAAGCGATCTCTAGCGTCCGTTGCGAGCGAAGCTGACGGTAACAAACACGCCGCGGACGTTAACCAGGGGCGGCCGATGGATTCGAACCGTCAAGCTCGGCAGCGATCAGCGGGGGACGCGCTACCACGCTTGATTCGTCACCGTCCGACATTTTCGTCAAATATTAAATCAGCCGTTCAACCGATGAGCGCGCACGTGCTACGATTACAAAGTCGCGCGCACTTTGAAAATTCGTTCCGGCATCAGCAACAATTTGAGAGCCGGCGTAATGGAAGAGGTCTCCGTAAATGGTGCAGCTGATTCGACGGGCGGACAACCACGCAGCGTAATTAATAACGTAGAATATAATTACAATAACACACATTACAACTGATTACTAATCTACAACTCACATCGTAACAATTGCCCGATTTCTAATCTAGTATAAATCGTTGCACCTGATGAGCCAAATGATGACGTCACCCTGCTGCTGCTGCTCTATTTAAGGCCGGAAGCAAGAGCAGAGCCTCACCATTCTGGCGAATTGCCCGATGATGCTGGATGCAATGACCAGCGAAATGTCGTGCTACTCAAACATTTTAAATGTTGTGGTTTCACGCTTCAACACACCGGTGGGCTAAAGCAGTGAACGAATTTGTCTTTTGTCAACGTGACACTTTTTTGCTGATTGGCCGTGTCGGGTGGTGGAGGGTTATGACACATTTATAAATAACGCGATCTAACCCAAAAACGTTGATTATGAACGTAGGAGGCTTTCGCGACCAATATCATCCGTAAAGGTTTTTGTGGGGTTTGATCGCGTGAATATATAAATTTTGTGTCATTAAAACCGCCACCAACTGACACAGCTAATTAGGCAAGGTTTGTCACGTAAACAAAACGTGCAAATTAGTTACTACTTCAGCACACCGGTGTGTTGGAGAGTAAACACAACATTCACAATTCTAAATAATCGAGTGACACGAATTATTTTCCCAGAGCTGAAATTTTTTAAAATAATTCATAAAAATGTGAAGACACCTTTAATATGATGGAGATTTTTTTTCTGTGTCTATGCAGTTATTGGTGACCGAGCTGACACCACAAACTAATGAAACTGGGAGGGACACCAAGTATTTAATCACCACAGGCGGCTGAAACCCAGGTTCGAACCCAGCGGCTCGGCTACCTGACCTCTGCGTCACCCGCCCCCCCCCTTCCCCACCCCACCTCTGTAAACACAGGGTAATCGCTGCAAGTTGCACTGACCTCAAAATCCAGGTCGGAGTACTTGGACTTTCGTCGCTAAAAGTGGAAACACAAAAAACAACGTCACAAGTCACGATCTGAGCAAATTCCATTCCGCCAGAAATTAACCGAAAACATCTCCCGATTTTAGTCCAACTGTGCTATCATGTTGGCAAGAGATGGAACAATGTTTCTATTGAGAGTTCGGCGGCTAGCAGTGCATCACACCCTGCGTCAGTGAATTGTTCTAGAAGATGATATTACAAAACAAGTTCTGCATAGGCCTCTTATCCTGACTGTGTCCCACCTCTTACATGCCTTGCAATGTGTGCAAGTGTGTATGTCCGTGTGGGGGAGCGGTGGTGTAGCGGTTAGCACGCTGCGCTATGAACCCGGCGACCAGAGTGTGCGATTCGTACTCACGGCCAACACCGGTGACGATTATCTGAAACAGTTCTTGGCCTCCCCTAGGTTTACTCAGCCTCAAGTGAGTTCCCTGGTGCGGTATGTAAACATCGCCACAGGAGAGACAAAGGCGGTCGGCCAGTGGTGCTGGCCACTCACCCCCCCCCCCCGTGTCCCATGTCAGCCTTCATAGGTTCTAACAGCACTTGCTCCAAAAGTATGTTATGGCTATAAGGGGGATCTTTGTCTTGTGTTTATGTAGAACTTCTTTCGCACCGTACGTAGCCAACCGTGCTAATTGGAGGTGTGGGGGAAAGACAACAAACTAAACCACAAAAGCAGTTCTAAAGAAATTAGTTTTTTTTATGTTTTCAATCTAGATCATTAGAGTAGCCAGGTCGCTTCTGAAAAGACCTATATAGGCACAGCGGGCTTTACGCGGTAAAATAAAAAGAGTTTCGCTTTGAGTTGAAGTTTAGACCTCAGCGTTCACAGGCAGTGTAAATCCACCAACCCTCGCCGCCTCCAAAAGCGCTTGCCTTTTTAGTTTTATACAAAAACAAATCGCTGACACAGGCCCCAACGGCTCAACGCGTCAAAGGAAGGGCAACGCCGCAGGGCCTTGCCGGGTGAGCTAGCGGGCCGCCCCCGGGGGAGCGGCCGCGTCGCGTGTGCGGCAGAGGTCGCAAACGGGTTTTGATTCCTTACCCGTACCCGGCCGCACCAGGGTCGCAAACGGGTACCCGTACCCTACCCGATACCCGGCTACCTGTACCCGGCCGGGTATCGGGTAGGCTACGGGTATCGGGTACCTGATTGCGACCTCTGGGATGAAGCCATGTTGCAGACGCGGGTGGGTTGATTCTAGGAACTTGAATTGTGAGAAGAGACAAGACGTTGGGAAATGAGTGACAAACGGTGACTCACCAGTGACTCACGGCCTACCCGTACCCGTACCCGGCCGCACCAGGGTTGCAAACGGGTACATGGCTACCCGTACCCGGCCGCACCAGGGTCGCAAACGGGTACCCGTACCCGGCTGGATACGGGTAGCCGGGTATCGGGTAGGGTACGGGTATCGGGTACCCGGTTGCGACTTCTGGTGTGCGGTGCGCACCTCGAGCGAGCTCTCGCTGGCGTTGGACACCGCGTCGCCGGCGTCCGTCTTCCCGGGGACCCCTCCGCCCACCGCCTTCTTCCCCGAGTTGCCCGCGACCGGGGCGGACGTGACGTCGCTCGACTGCGAGCGGGCGTCGCTGGAGTTCCCGGACCCCTCGCCCTCGTCCCTCCGCGTGCAATAATTCTACAAAATGACAACAAAAAATTAACCCGTAAAAACAAAGTTTTTCACTATAAATCCTTTATATGCGTGGCATCGGTTTTATTTGATTATTCATTTCTGTTTTTCTTGAGTAAGAGTTTCATTTTTATCACATTGGTATTTTAAATTAAATATGAAATTTTTTTCTTCCTAAAAAGTGGAAAATTTTGGAAAAAAATTTTCACGAAAATAAAATTGTCACGCACAACGAGTCTGTGTGCAAAATGTCAGCTCGATTGGATCACGGGAAGTGGGTTAAAAAACGACCGAAAGATTTGCATGCAAGCAAGCAAGTGAACTTAATATAAAGGATTTAAAAAACAAAGACGGAGTGTGAGAGGGTTAAACGGAGTTGGCGAGCCACAGAGTCCGCTGAAAAGCAGCAGCGCAAGAAAGCTCCTGCCAAAGGGGGAAGAGGATGTGCAAATGACATCTAACGATTTGTGGGTTCAGATCCGTTTGTATGTATAGATGTGGAACTTATTTCCCACCGCACATAGCCAACTGTGTGCTAATCGGAGTTGCGGGGGAAAGCCAACAAACTAAACACAAAAAGCAGTTCTAAAGAAATGAGTTTTCAATCTAGATTTAAATTGCATAGCTGCTCCTGTGGCTTCCTGATATCGGAAGGAAGAGTGTTCCAGACGGCCGTAGAAGCACCTCTGAAAGCGCGCAATGCAGTGACCGCCTTAAATTTACCCGCCCTGCACACTGGATAGCTACGCCACTGTTGGACCCCACCACCACCCCCCCACCACCATCACCCCACACGCACCTGCAGTTCGTTGATGCCCTCCGAGCCCAGGTAGGTGTACGGTCTCTGCGTGAGCAGGGGCACTGACTCCACGAGGCTGGGGGGCGCCGGCTGGGCGGGTGCAGCGTTGCTCCCCACGTGCGCACCCCGGCACCCGGCTCCAAGACCGACTCCAGTTCTGCTTCCAGATCCAGTTCCCGCTTCTCCCCCGGCTCCCTCCGTGGCTGCCGCTGCCCCGGCACAGGCCTCGGCCTCCCCAGGAAGATCCCCAGATGGCCCCTCTGTCCCGTCACCCTCCCCAGCTGCCCCGGCTGCCCCATCCCGTTTGGCTCCAGAACTCTTCCCGGCTGCGCCCGCCTCTCCGTCCGCCGGTTGCGCGACCGCCGCTTCGGCATCGCTGCCGTTGTTGCCGTCGTCGGCATCGTCGTGGTCACAGTCATCGCCACCGTCATCGTCATCGCCTCCTCCTCCTCCTTCATCATCATCACCTTCTTGGGCGCCATCAGTGGCGTCGGTGTCGAGGTGGGGGTGGTGCAGTACGGGGAAGGCCGGGCCAATCAAGGCCTCCTTGCTGGGGTCTGACGGGCACGCACAAAGACAAAGATTTACCCGTGTAGCCTTGAGCGAGCTGTCGGGGCAAGTGCTTTTAGCGAGCACAAATAAAGGCCGGCCGGCACGGCACGCAAGGGGGTGGGGTGGCCAACACCACGCCCGACTGCCTTTGTCTCCCCGGTGCTGATGTTTACACACCGCACCAGGTACACATTTACAGCGGAGTCCATCTGGGAGAGGACCAAAACCGATTCAAATATTCACCGATATTACCCGGGCCGCCAGGCTCATAGCGCAGTGCGCTAACCACTACACGCTCGCTCTCCACGCACGCATGTACACAAGCACTCATGCACATGAATGGCTGGGTGGCAGTGCCATGTGAGAGTACACATTTTCGTTAATAAGCGAGGTTTGTTCGTCTTGGTAGAGAGATCCAAGCTAAAGGGGGCATCCCTGAAGTCACTAGCTCATGACAATGCTGGTGGAAAAGGACCTCCACTGATGGGAGCTAAGGGGAGAAGGCATTTTTCTCTACGCTTCCATCACTGGCCAGACGTCGTGGTAAGAGTTAGGAGTAAACCATGGAGACATGAGACATTTAATTGTATGAATGTTTCTCGATAAAGTCAAACATTGTTTAGCAGTAGGTTTTTACCCTTTAAACTGGTACAAAACTGACACCTTTATACAAGGCATCATGTTTGCAATAACCACAACACAAGCAGTCAAATGCAAACAAAAAGAAACAACTCTGATAATGATAATATGCACTGTCCTTGAAGTTGATTGGTCCACACCAAGGACAGCTTTCCTTAGAGCCTAGTCTCCACTGGTGTTGGACCAGATGACGCCAAAAGGCAGTGCATATTATTACCATTATCAGAGTTGTTTCTTTTTGTTTGCATTCGACTGCTTGTGTTGTGGTTATTGCAAACATGATGCCTTGTATAAAGGTGTCAGTTTTGTACCAGTTTAAAGGGTAAAAACCTACTACTATATTTTGCCACTGGTAAAGGAGGTCTCACAGTCAAACATCGTTATCAAAACTCACAGACAAAAGGAAGTTTATGATCATGTAGATTAGCTGCAGAGCGCATGGCCGCACTGCCTCGTTTAATATTCACAGCCAAGGCAGTCCACTCAGGCGTGCTGTGGGTAATCCACAGAGTCTGGGAAGTCTGTCGTTTGCAGCAACCTCGTTTTAGCCATCGTCACCGCGCGGAAACGAGTCAGGACTCATTATGACCGGAGGAAACCAGGGACGTGTGGTATTGATGATGAGCGATGTACCATCAACGGTCTTTGACTAAGGTTTTGAGATGTAAATAAAATCATTATTAAACGTTGACTCAGAACATTGCTTACCTTCTGTGCAAGTGCCGTCCAAGCTTTTTTCACAACCCTGCCAGACCAAACAAAATCAAGAGGCAACGCAAGCATCAGCAGAGATCACCGAGGAACCGGTGAGCCTCGTTCCCATCAACAACAACACACGTCTCGGCAAACGGCCCTCACCCCCCCCCCCCCTCCTTGCCACACGCGCTCGTCACAAACACCGTGGAGACGGAGCGACGGAATCGGCTCGTGCGCAAGCAGCCGCTGGACGATTCGCCGCGTCACGAGACCGCGAGAGGTGGAAACGATCGTGGCCCGACGATGACAACGACGACGACGACGATTTGAGTGCACGGATGTTTACCATCATGACGGAGTGGCCGTTGGGAAGATTCACGCTGCAGTCGTTCACCTCCCCCTGACAGCCTCGGAGACGGCGACGGATAGCAACCTGGACCTTCACGAGCGGGGAAGGGGGGGAGAGGGGAGTTCAGTAGGGACAGACGCACGATTGTATATTGCCAGTATCAGCTATCGTCCATTTTTAGCGCTTTCCAGGCAAGGTTGAAAGTGTTTATCCATTAACTCCATCCATCTGTCGGTCTGTAACGTGGAGTGGGGGGGGGGGGGGGTGGATAATTCTATAAATGACACATCAAACTGTATTGAAAACTGGCCACATTGATCAAAAGGTTATTGCCCAGATACAAACCGGTGCCAAAAAGGACTTTTTTCAAATATGCAAAACGCATTTTCCCCCAAAAACTACACGTCGGCTTCCATTATTATCATCATCACCATCATCAGCCATTTCCAAACCACTGCTGGATGATTAACCTCGCCAATCCGCTGCCATCTCTCGCAAATCCTGCGATATAACGAGTCGTCTTCCGTACTGCTAATTAAGCCTTTCCTATTCCGATGGCATACGTCACCGTACGTGCACGTCATAGGAACGAAATCGGAATAAAAAATAAACTAACTTCATCGCTCACGAGGCTCCCACAAGGCCATGCAGGTCGGGCACGTGGCACAGTTTGGCGGCAGCTATCATAGAGTGCGGTCGTGTCGCTACAGTTCTCTGCGGTGAGTACAATGCCTTTAAAAAAGATCAAAAATATCGAAACACCTCCCTAAATTCAATTTACTCGGAGCCACTTGCGCACTCCCAGATTCGGCAGTGAACGGGACGCTCACCCTGCAACTTGCAGGACGTCTCAGCACGGGACAGGGCGAAACGCTTCCGAAGACGCTGCGCGCACGTTGGTACGAGCACGGCGCAGAACGGGACGCTCACCCTGCAACTAGCAGGACATCTCGGCGGCACGGGACAGAGCGAAACGCTTCCGAAGACGCCGCGCGCACGTTGGTACGAGCACGGCGCAGAACGGAACGCTCTCCCTACAACTTGCAGGACCGTCTCGGCACGGGACAGGGCGAAACGCTTCCGAAGACGCCGCGCGCACGTTGGCACGAGCCCGGCGCAGCTCACCTCGCGCCGCAGGAAGCAGTGCACCGCGGTGATGACGAGGCCCTGCAGCGAGTCGAACACGGAGAAGAGGACCTGGAAGAGCGACGAGCGGCGGTCGGTGATGGCTAGCACGGCCGACATCCACGTGAGCGCGAGCAGAGGCAGCACCACGCACGAGCTCCACAGGGAGGCCCTGCAGACCGATTAGGGGTTCGGGGTGTAGACAGAGAGAAGGGAGAGTATTGAGAGGGTCAGTGAGAGGGCGAGTGAGAGAGCGAGAGAGAGAGGGAGAGGCAGTGGGCACCACACACGAGCTCCACGGGGAGGGACATTGGGCAGGAGAGTGAGCGAGAGGGTGGGTGGGTGGGTGGGTGAGCGCGAGATGGAGTAAGGGAGGAAGCATAACGAGTGGAAGGTTGAGTGCATGAAAAAATTCATGAGTGACTGAGTGAACGAGTTATGACTATGGGTCGCGGCTCCGGGTCAAAGATGTGCCTGGGGTTGAATGGTTACGGCTGGGGCTGAGCGAGGGCGATGCTCATGTAATGTGAGGTTATATCCGGGTCGTTGACGGATCACAACTCGTCACGACGATTGGCTCTGCCGGTCCTGGTTCATAGCCAATGGGGGGAAGCCTTGGGGCGTGGCCCTGACGTAATGGAAAGGTGACAGCTGTAAGTAGAGGATTGGTTCTGCTGGCTTTAGCCACAGCCAATGGGGAGACGAGTCAGGGGCGTGGTCCCGGGAGCCTCTGGAATATTCCATAGAGGCTAACGAGAATTGGTGGAAACGTACCACGTGACCCGGGTATTAAATAGGGGTGGAGACGTACGCCACGTGGTCAGAACGGGAACGAACAGAGGAAGGGGGCCACGCGTGAGCGGGGCTCCGGGTTGCCACGTGGCAGTGCGTCTCTCTCTCTATCTGTCCCTCTCAAGCTGCCTGTCAGCAGCGTGAAGGAAAGCTGTAATGCAAGTTGAATAAAAGACCGGATACCAGAAGTCGCCTCAACGAGCTTTATTACACTCACATGGCGTTGCTGTGAGTGGAGTCTCTCAGGGAGCTGCTGGACATGGCGCCGCATTTGGAGCAGCGCAGGGTGGAGCCGTTGGGTTGCTCTCCCGGGTGACTGCTCAAACACACACACGCGAATCAGTGCTCGCTCACTTACTCCCATAACCAAATCGCTCGCGCGCTTATTCAATGACTCACTCTCACAGTCGCTCACTTACCGGCCTTCTCTCTCGTTCATTCATTCACGCGCTCACTCATACACTTCCTGCTTGCTCACTCACATACTTATAGGTATGCATATTGTATGTTGAAATTCTTTTGCACCGTACATATAGCCAACCATGCTAATCGGAGGTGCACGCTCACTCGTGCTCGTTCACATGATCCCTACACTCGCTCGCTCTCATGCTCGCTCAATCATTCACCGACATGCACATCCACCCGCACGCTCACTTAACAACAACAACAAGCCACCGTGACTCTTGAGGCACACAGGCAGTCACCTGACAGCCGCTGTGAGCGGACACACACTCACCGGTGGGGGGCATCCTTCCGGATCTTGTCGGGCACGCCGTTTCTCGTGACGAGTTTATTGAAGACCAGAATTCCAATCACCATGTTAATCTGAATGCCAGAACGCACACGGGAGGTGGAGGAAGAGACATGGCTAAACATGGGAGGTCCGTCGATGAGTATTTGTAAAATGTTAATAGCAGGGGGAAAGGGAATTTATGAATGGAACTAAACTAAGAACAGCTATTAACAACACTGCCCAGTGAAATAATAACATAATAAAAATATAAAACAATAAAATTCTCACGACGTTTCGAAAGCAACACAAGCAATCATAATCAGGTGTGGATTTCACACCTGATGATGATTGCTTGTGTTGCAGTCGAAACGTCGTGAGAATTTTATTGTTTAATATTTTTATTATTTTATTATTTCCCTTCTACATGACTTTACCAAAAGAACCAAGAATATGAATCCCTGCAGTCACAAACGCTTTAAATCAAAATAAAACACTGCCCAGATAAATAAAAACAGACTTGCATTCACTTCAACAAGAACACAACAACCGCCCTTCGCAACGAATTGGTGGTGACATCACCACGGTGCTTGTGCCAGGCTAGGTGCATCATCACGATCACCACCACTAACGGCAGGACAGTTCCACACATTCGAACATACATTTTAGACACTTTAACAAGTGGTTATTTTAGCAGGTAAGGCCCAAGAAAGTGGCTTATCACGTGGAAAAGTATAGCAGCCAAATATTTTGAAACGCATGTTGCTTCTAAATGTGAAGCGAAAAAAAAACGGAGGACCCAGAGAAAAATCCACACTTTTTTTGCCACGGGGAGAACGTGCAAACTCCATATATACAGGCGTCAGGGTCGGGATCGAACCCACAACCTCCTGTATACAGGGTGAGGTAGTTAACATCTCGCCACTGCCAGATGTTCATGATGACACTCATCAGTCATCGTGAAGTGGGTTTTTACTTGGGCATAGCACGCCAATAAATCAGGGATTCTGTCAGAGATGCTGTCTAAAAAAAACAGATAACCATCTTCACAGTGACACGCCAATGACTATTATTCAGCTGATTGAGTGCTGAGGTTGCCAAATTTGTGGAACTGCGAACCATTATTTCCACCACGAAGGGCTTCCCCATTACAATAAATGCGGTGGTAATTCTCAACAATTCCACCAAAAACACCATGGTAATTCTTAACGATTCCACCACAACCACCAACCACCACAATAACCACACCGCAGTCATCACCACTTCCGATGGACACCACGACCACTGACAGAATCACCACCATCATGACAATCACATCATAACCGAAGTTTTGGGATTAAAACCTCACCCCCATCCTTGTCCTACTTTAAATGACAGTGACATGCCAATGATTATTATTCAGCTGATTGAGTGCTGAGGTTGCCAAATTTGTGGAACTGCGAACCATTATTTCCACCACGAAGGGCTTCCCCATTACAATAAATACGGTGGTAATTCTCAACGATTCCACCACAATCACCACAATAACCACACCGCAGTCATCACCACTTCCGATGGACACCACGACCACTGACAGAATCACCACCATCATGACAATCACATTGTAACCGAAGTTTTGGGATTAAAACCTCACCCCCATCCTTGTCCTACTTTAATTGACTATTGATCTCAGATTCCGATCACGCAGACCTGCGATTGATCGCTCTGCTTCGCAGCCTTTAAGTTCATAAATGTGTTATTTGACAATCTTACCAAAATCGTTGCGGTTAATAAGCCCAACATTTTTTCGCAAGCGATGCGTTCTACTGGTCTTGTAATACTTCTTATGCTCATTGTACCACGTTGATGTACAACCTGGCCATTCGGAAACGCGAGTTGTTCTGGGATTGTTCCTGTTATTTTGCGGTCACCAGGTTTGTATTGTGTAACCAGGTCCCCATAGAAAATGTGCATTTATTGCCCAATGGGTGTTTACCTTTGCAAAAATAAATTAATTAAAACATCAGTCATCTTCACCACTACCAATAACACCACTACCACCTCCACAACAACCATCACCACCACTATAACCACCACCACAATGACTGCACCACAGTCATCACAACGACCAATGACACCATATCAACACTGCTAAAATCATCACTACAATGCCACTACTAGCATTACCACCATGACTGTTACAATCATCACGAGCACCACTTATCATCACTACCACTACCACAATAACCACATCAAAATGATCTTCAACACTACCAATGACATCACCACCATCATCTCTACAACAACCAGCACCACCATTATCACCATGACCACAACAACTAAATCACAAACATCATCACCAACCACCACTGACATCACGACCACCACCAAGCGTCGGCCATTGTATGCCAACCTCAGGGTCCAAATTTGCCAAAATATAAAAAAATGACACCGCAAATTACTCAATTGGAATTACACAAACATCAGCAACCATCGTCCCCGACTGACAGACTAATGCCCCAGGTCACTCTTGTAAATGAGACTCATGCCGGTCTTTCGAATTCTCCCCTGGTGAAACAAAATCAACTTGATCATCACCACCAACATTACTTCCATCAGCGGTACAATCACCAGCACCATCATTATCGTCACCACCGCCATCATTCACTACCACCCATACGAACAACCACCATTAATATCCACCACAACCAACCACCACGCTGAGATATGATTGCAAGTTGTCACTCTCTCCATGCAATCACAATGTCCACGGTCCCTCCTTTGTAAAAACAGTTTTGACAAGTTCAATATCTAGCATTATATATATTAAGACCTTGATTTGTGAGAGCTTGGGTGACAGCTTCCATCCAGTGAACCAAACGCCTTTTCATGGGTGGACAAAAGCGAGGCATGAATGGCATTCGATATTCATGTCTTCTCTGCCACTTGAGTGACAGCGGGAATGTAGTACATGCATGTGTGACGCATGGCCAGAAACATGGAACACTGAAAAAGAAAATGAAAAACATTTTTTGTAAGTACACAAAGAAGCGTGAAGAGCTACGTAAATGATAATAATAAATTTAAGACCGTTGTAATTTCAACTCGCGGTGCGCCGCCACGGTATTCGCTCGCTCTCGACGAGAGAGAACGTCTCAAGAGGCGCGAGGAGGAGGAACCACAAACGAGCGCGGAAAGGCAGCCACCACGCGGTAGTGAGCCTGCACCAAATCACCCCCCTCCGCCCCCACACCACTTCTCCCAAGCTCTGCAGTCCTAAATGTATTAAGGTGTTATCGGCCAATCAACGAGCGTTGAAACGTTCGCGGTGAAAGCGGAGCACCCGGAAAGAAAAAAAACCCCACGCATGCGAGGGGGCAACGCTCAATCCCGTACAAGTGGAACAGGTGTGTGGAGTCCACGACTGGCTGCACCGCTTTCTGCTGGCGAGCCAGCGTACCGCAACTTTCCCTCGATGCCCACGGGGGGAGGGAGTTTCGCACAACTGCCACGTGAGATCCACAAATTGTGAAGCCAGGCACTGCAATCATCACGCCAGGAGGCTCAGAATATTTCAAAATCTTTATTTTCGGATATCTTTTTTTTATTCTGGAGGAATACGACGAGCTATGAAGCTCAAACATTGGCTCAGCTACGAGGTCCCTGCTTCACCTCTGTGGCGGCCCGATGCATAAACTATAAACTATTTATATTTTACCAAGTAAGGCCCACTAAGCTATACAGCTCTTTTTCTACAAATGATAGCTCAACGAAGTGGCCTATCACGTGGACATTTAATGCAGCCACGTTTCTACATGTGGAGGGAAAACCGGAGGACCCTGAGAAAGATTCCCGCGACAACGGGGAGACATACAACCTCCGAATATACAGGCCTCAGGGTCGCGTTTGAACCCACGATCTCCTGTATACCAGGCGAGGTAGTTAATATCTCGCCACCGCGGCCTACAGCAGGAGGCCATCGTGGAAGCCGATGCCGAAACTAGAATACGTGGGGGGCACATAATATGTGCGGTGCCCAAGCCGAAATGCCACTTTCCTATGGAGGGAATGGTGGGAGTATTCCTTCCCCACGCTTTCAAACATATATATGTAAAAAAAGGTGACGTTTCAGGCCATGGCCCTTCCTCATAGAACGTAAAATCATATTTTGTTTTCCCTGAAAATGTTGCCGATGATATTTTTTCTTCCTTTTAACGCCACAGTGCTAAATGTTTGTGCTTGTGCACCACTGCCAAAGCAGCGTCAACAGGAAAGTAAGTCGGCTACAGGCAAGACACATCATGGCCAGAAGGGACGACGGCCAATGGACAAGACTGGTAACGGAATGGCAGCTAAAGGAGAGACGTGGCCGGAAACGAAGCAATGAGATCAGGTCACGCGCAAGCAGCAGTGAGATGGATTGTAGCATCGCAGGATGACGGGGGATGGAGACAATGTGTGGAGGACTTGATCCAGCAGTGGATAAACCAGGGCTAACGATTGCGACGATGACGACCGTAACCATCGGCATCAACGTGACCACTGCCTCCTTCACCACGAGCACCGTCACCATCAACTACCACAACCAGCACATATCCACCACCATCACCACCCACATATTCATAACCAACATCATCACCACACCCGGCACTGGCAGGAAAGTGTTCATAATCAAAATAACATTGCCTGTTTATTTAGCCAGAAAAGTCTCGCCAAGTCTAAAAACTATATTTGGAACATTTTTCCGGAAAGCTGAGCCATTTCCATTAAGAAGTACAGTAAAACCTTGGATTGCGAGCATAATTCGTTCCGAAAACGTGTTTGTAATCCAAAGCACTCGTATATCGGTTGTGATCACGTGACGCTCGGCCGATAAAGCGTATGCACGAACTACTCGTATTGCAAGACCTCGCTCGTTTATCAAATTCATATTTATTTAAAAATTGCACGCCTTGCAAAACACTCGCAGACCAAGTTACTCGCAATCCAAGCTTTTACTCTATTCGGCTTTTGTGCAGGAAACCAGAGAACCCGGAGGAAACCCACAGGTTAGAGGGGATGACGCTCAAGCATCCGCTGACGTACTGCCGTGGCATCTCCATGCCACCTCGCAGTCCATGCCGACCACAGGCAGTACACCCCCAGGCGGTCTCCCGTCCAAACACTGACCAGGCTCGGCTCTGCTTAGCGTGTGAGCTCTTGACAAAGTCGGGCACATGCACTCACCAGCACCACGACAGCAGCCGGTCCCACGAAAGAGTAGAGAAGTCCACCCTCCAAAGAGAGCCAGCAGCTGGAAAGAGTCGTGCACGCGCACACACAGACACGGCACAGCAAAAGAAAGACAGAAACACACACACACACAGGACACAGAGAGACACGTGCAATGATGACAAACACACATAACAGAGACACAGAAAAAATTTAAGCTGCAAAAACAAAGTTTTTCACTATAAATCCTTTATATGCGTGGCATCGGGGCGGCTAGAGTCCTCTCGTCCTCTGGCTTGAGATGACTGCCACCTATGGGTCAGATGATTGTCTGCACCATTAAGCAATTGGTAATTAAATATTTTAAAAATTTTCCCTAAACAGTGTAAAATTTGGGAAAAAAATTTTCACGAAAATTAATTGTCACGCACAACGAGTCTGTGTGCAAAATGTCAGCTTGATTGGATCACGGGAAGTGGGTTAAAAAACGACCGAAAGATTTGCACGGTCGTAAGCAAGCAAGCAAGCAAGCACGCACGCAAGCACGCAAGCAAGTGAACTTAATATAAAGGATTTAAAAATAGAGGCGTTCAGGCACACAAAGAGACACGCAGACATAAAGCATAGAGACACACACACACAGAGGAAAGATTTATGACAGCCTGAGACACACACAGAAGTATATACAAAGTAACGAAGCGGACGTGCAGTTCAAAGAGGAAGAGATGCCTAGGCTGCCGAGATTTGTGGCAAGTTTGCATCTTGTGTACACGGACACCTGTGCACGTGCACGTGCCAACAGAACGTCGGGGAGGGACGGCACACGATTCGGCGATGATGAAAGTAGATTCTTGCCTGAATTTTCATTAAGAGAAGTACATCAAAGTACTTTGATCAATGGGACGTGGAGCGATGTGACCCGAATTTGATTCCCGGCTACAACTGGCAAGTGATTTCTGTGCTATATACTGCTCAAGCCAGCGATTAAAACACACCGTTATCATATTTGCATTGAATTTCCCGCGGTTTGCCTTTAGCCATTCTCTGGTCTAATACTGGTGAGACGAGGCCATAAAGGAGGCCGTCTCTGGTGCAGGCCAACCAGACTCAAGGCCAACGCATACATGAATTACACTGGTCAACAAAATAAAAACATTTTTTTCTGGCCTGGACTTTTGCAGCTGTTCTAGACTAATTTCAGGGTGCTGATTCGAAATCTGATCTCAGATTTGCTCTATCACATCATTTTTATGCTATCGGCATACCCCATTTTCATTGATTTTACCCGAAATTAACTCTGTCACTTATGATTGCAAGTTGTTGCGAGTCAGTGACTGCTTTCGTGTTAAAATATGGTGCTGTATTTTTAGGATAGTGTGTTTATAATATAATTTTATGTAGATATCCACATTTATTTAATATTTTTCTTCTGCGGTTTTTATTGAAAATGCAATATTTGATATCTCAAAAACCTGATGTGATAGACAAAAACTGATGCAAGATTTGGAATCAGCACCCCAAAATTACCTGAAAACCGTTGGAATACCTTATGCCAGAAAAAGTGTGTTGACCAGTGTTATCAAAGCACATTTGTTTACACGTTTTACCACAAGCATGCATGATTAATGAAGACTTTATGCCTTGCAATTGATGTCAACTTAGTGTTTGAACATCTTAACACCTCCTGTATTACTGCAGGCAAGGGTAAAGCCCATTCTCTTTTCGTCGATATCTATGCTGGTTCTGGGCCTCCTTTAGGTCGCCTTAGACGTAAAAAAAAAGTAGCTGGTGCGGTGTAAACATCGGCGCAAAAGTTTGGTGGGGGGGACACGGTGCTGCTACCACACAGACACACGCAAGCCAAACACACGCACACAGGGGCAGGCACGCACATGCACACCGCCACACATGCACACCGCCACACATGCACACCGCCACACACGCACACCGCCACACACGCACACCGCCACACACGCACACCGCCACACACGCACACCGCCACACACGCACACCGCCACACACGCACACCGCCACACACGCACACCGCCACACAAGCACACCGCCACACAAGCACACCGCCACACACGCACACCGCCACACACGCACACCGCCACACACGCACACCGCCACACACGCACACCGCCACACACGCACACCGCCACACACGCACACCGCCACACACGCGGGGTCGGCTTACTAGCTGTGGGTTCCGTATCCCTTCATCTTCGTGAGGCCACAGGAAAAGGCGACCGTCATCGCCGGGAAGCCTGAACGACACACATCATCGCTCCGATGACGATAAGAATCATGCTGCCAACCATCATGCTGACGATGGTGACGACGACGATGATACTAATGCTGATGTCACCGATACTGCCACTGCTGATGCTGATGACCTTAACGATGGACGCCCATGATGACGCCGAGGATGAAGATGATGACGTGAACCATTGCGATGACTACGATAGCGACGACGACGTTGACGCCGATGGCCGTGAAGCACCCGCTGACGTCGCCACCGCCGACGTTGCCGATAATGATGGCCACAGTCATGAGGATGCTGACGATGATGCTGATGATGATGCTGCTGATGCTGGTGACTGCCCGCACCCCATCCGAGCAGCAGGAAGCGCTTGTGGATGAGTCGTCGGCGGAGACGCCCGCCCACGGCGGTATAGGCGTGCCACGCTTCGGCCAGGACCCAGCAGAACGACGCCAGGAACGTGAAGTGCAGCAAAGCGGCCGTGGCCACACACGCGGCCTATGCAGAGAGATGCACATACGAGTACACACGCACGCACAAGCACACACATGCACGGGACACTCACGGGACACGTGGCACACGCGCAGGATGTCCATAGGGTAAACACATACACACGCGAGACACGGGAGGAACGGGACACACGCAGAAGACGCCCATAGGGTAAACACACACACATAAGACACGGGACACACAAGGGATGGACAGGACATGAGACATGCGGGATATACACACACAGGACACGCATGGAACACAAATAGGTATACACACACAGCAAGCAATACACAAAGCACACACACAGACACGACAGTGCATTACAAAGAGAGAATGCGCATACACAAAGATCCTCCGTATAGCCTTAACAGACTGTAGGGGCAAGTGCTGTTAGCGAGCACCTATGAAGGCCGGCACGGCACACGAGGGGGTAGGTAACCAACACCACGCCCGGCCGCCTTTGTCTCCCCAGTGGTAATGTTTACACATCACACCAAGTACTCATTTGAGGCTGAGTCGACCTAGGGGAAGCCCAGGACCGGTTCAGATAATAGTCACTGGTATTGGCCATGAGCGGGAATCGAACCCGGGTCGCCAGGTTCATAGCGCAGCACGCTAACCACTACACACACACGGGATGCGTGACATTCAATATGCACCGAAACAAAGGTACACGCACAGGGAAGCAACGTGCAAAGACACACACTCACAAGAGTAGATACTCACATTAATACAGGACACGCAGAAACACAGGACACGCAGAATATATATACAAGAGGATCACTGTGCATTCATAAAAGACTTGACTCATAAGAGTGCGTGAGAACAAAATGTTGAGACTTAATAAGGTGCGGAACACATTGGGTCACACAGGGTCACACAGGGTCACACAGGGTCACACAGGGTCACACAGGTACCCACAGGGACCCTTGGTGGGCCCTCCACACAGCCCGCAAGACATACCCTCTGCTGCATGAGCGTCTGCGCCAGCAGGATGAGTCCGTTGGAGGAGATGATGGAGATGCAGAGGTTGATGAGGATCACGGCCCTCTCAGAGCGCACGACCCTGCTCACGCACGCGGCGTTCAAACGCGACGATTGGGCTCAACTTTCACGAGCATCCACTCCCTCCCCCCGCCCCCCTCAACAGCCACCGACGCCGACCACCAGGACGCCTACGGACGCTACTTTCACCTTTGCCGCTGCACGTCGCCGTCCACGTGAATCTCATGACGTGCTTTCCTCGCCTCGTGAGTCTTCGTGGCCTCCCAGAATTCCTCGCTTAAATGCGAGCTGCCATTTCATTTGTGGGCAATTTTAAGGCACTCGCGCCTATGACCATATACCGGTCCGAGCTAACAGGGTCAAGCCAGGATAGTGGTTGTCGAGGAACCCACCACAATTAAAACGGGTGTCGTAGGCTGCTATGCGGCTACGTTGCAGGCAGCAGAGGACAATGTGGCAAAATGCGTTGTTGTAATGTACTTCTTTGCTCTCAACTTTCACCAAACCACACTGGCCAGCCTGGTTTAACTCGAGTCGAACAATCCCCACGATCCTGCACGGTGTGGTGGGGCCCAAATCCAGCAATGATTTAACATGCATCACAAACATGGTTATGAAATGTTTAACGATCTTGAGGGAGGGAGGGGAGGGAGGGGAGGGAGGGGAGGGAGGTCAGGCTTCACTGCTATGATGCTGGTAGCGCAGCAGCAGGGGATCTGGTGATGGGTTTTTGAGGGTGATTTGTTCTCTTGTTGGTGTCCATGAACACGGTAACACACAATGGGACTAATGTTACACGGGAAACCCGCGGTATATCTTTGATTTAAAAAAAGGGAGCACATAAGCAAACAAAAAAAAACGACATGATGAACGAAGTAAAGTGCTGAAAGACCGAGCATCTTTCTAGTCTGATCGTTAAAAAAAGCAAAAAAATAACAAACAAAAAAAGGAGGGAGGCTCAGTTGACAGGTGGTGTTCCATCCTTTTTGACATGTTGGGCTACAGAGGGGTGCCCTGTATAATGTGACTGACGGGAGGGGATCTTGCAATGGGCATTTTATGGTGTTTTTTTATTGCGTCTGCGAACACAGTACACAATGGGATTTCTGTCCCGTGGAAAAGTGTGTAAATATGTTATATTTCTTGAATAAGAAGAAAAAAAGGCCATTAAAAGTCTAAAATAACATTTAAAAAACCCGAAAAACGACACGATGAATGAAGCAAAGTGTCGAATAACCGAACATTTGTTTTGTTTCTTCTCATCGAAAGAAACGAGGGGAGGGAGTGGAAGACGAGGAGGAGGAGGAGGTTGAAGAGGAGGACCTCACCTCCAGTAGAGCGCGTAGACCACAATGAGGCAGAGGAGGGCGAGCGAAGAAACTGTGCAGCCCACCACCAGCGTCAGCGACAACGTGCTCGCCTGATCCATGTCCTGGGGCAGGTTGCGGGTGAGACGGGGACGAAATTATGATCACCGGGTCCATAGTCTAGTGCTCGAACCCAATGCACCCACTTCACTATTGCTCCACAAAGACAAAGATCCCCCTACAGTCTTCGGACTTTTGGGACAAGTGCTGTTTGCAAGCATCTATTAAGGCCAGCACCAGCACACGAGGGTACAGGTGGCCAGCACCACGCCCGACCGCCTTTGTCTCCCCAGTGGATGATGTTTACACACCGCACAGGGTACTCACTGAAGGCGGAGTCGACCTAGGGGATGCCCAGGACCAGTTCAAATATTCACCACTGCTGTTGGTAGCGAGTGGGAATTTAACTCGGGTCGCCGGGTTCGTAGTGCAGTGCACCAACCACTACATCACCACTCCCCCACAGACACACACACGTAGACTGACACATTCGTGGGATCAGAACACACATGGAGCTCTCACCTGATATGGGCTTCATTTGCAACGCTTCATTCGAAACACACTGTTTGCCTTTTCGTCCCAATTATATTCCAACTGTGTCACGTCTTGAAACAATGAAATGTCAATTTGGAACTCCCAGAGCGAGCGGTGTAACATCAGAGCGCATCAGCGAACAGCCCGATTGTAAGATGACGGTACAGAACGTCTTCTGAAAGTCACACAACTGACTCTTATCCACACCGTGTGGTCTATATTTTATACGAGCAATTATAACGTAATGATGCTCTGCACAGTATTTATCCAGGAAAGCCTCACCGAGTCTCAAGGCTAATTCAGGAGGGCTCTCTGCATTTCGTTGTTTGGTCAATACCATTAATGACCTTTGCAGTTTCTACAGAAAGTAATTAGTAGCCAAACATGCCAAGGCATGGTCCTCTTGAAAAGATAATTCGGTGACTCAAGTCAGGAATTCCTGGGTTAGAGATAGTATTGTTATCTCTAACACAAGTTAATGTCTACGGTTTTGACACGTGTAAGGGTTTATTGACTACTCTTGTGTCCAATCATGAACGAGTGTTCGTATGCCAAATCATAAATGTAGATTGGTCAACTTCTCAAAATTTCAGAGTGTTGTTAAATCACCAGCAGATTGTGGTGTGCGGTCTCCAAAGACGAGTACGTACGACTGCCTTCTCCACCATCATCATCACCATGACCACCATCACCATAACCACAAAAACCACCGTCATCAGACTCGGGACATCGGGACATGACGCCCAAAGTACGAGTTAAATGTACAGCCCTGATTGACGGTATCTCCCACGCCGTGTTTGTTGTCGGCGTTGCTAGACCATATTTCACCGCACTAACCAGTGTGTCTTGGCCATGGGTAGGACTGGTCCAGGTACTACTACACGCTACTCATGTTAGTCGTGGCCGGGACTCAAACTCAGCAAGTCACAACGCGGCGCGACCAGTGTTCGCTTAATTGTTAAGCTAACTTTACGCGTAATGATGTCGCTACGAGTAAGCGTTAAGAACTCAAAGAAATACCAATGTAATTGCCTTGGCATAGATCACATCGGTGGGCACAGTGACCGTCCATCAATGAGGATTAATAGCCAATACTCTAGGGTTAATTCCATAACAAGCGTGAGATGCTCAACGCTGATTGGATTACGTAACGCGAATGCAGGCAGTCCTAAATGCAGCTGCTAAACGTAATAAATTAGAACATGTCACTTACACCGGAGAAATCCGACGAGCTACGTTGCCACAACAAACAGTAGAATAACAAACACAATCACAGGAGGAGGAGAAATGTAAGAAGGGGCATGCGCATTCCCGGACGTGGCACATGCGATCCACGAGCAGATGTGACTAGGCTGGACCGTCTGAATGTCTAGCAGAGGTCACAACCGGGTACCCGATACCCGTACCCTACCGATACCCGTTTGCGACCCTGGTGCGGCCGGGTACGGGTAGGCCGTGAGTCACTGGTGAGTAACCGTTTGTCACTCATTTCGGGTAGGGAACGGGTACGGGTAGGGAACGGGTACCCGTACCCGGCCGGGTACACGTACCCATTTGCGACCCTGGTGCGGCCGGGTACAGGTAGGCCGTGAGTCACTGGTGAGTAACCGTTTGTCACTCATTTCGGGTAGGGAACGGGTACGGGTAGAGAACGGGTACGCGTACCCGGCCGGGTATACGTACCCATTTGCGACCCTGGTGCGGCCGGGTACGGGTAGGCCGTGAGTCACTGGTGAATAACCGTTTGTCACTCATTTCGGGTAGGGAACGGGTACCCGTACCCGGCCGGGTACACGTACCCATTTGCGACCCTGGTGCGGCCGGGTACGGGTAAGGAATCAAAACCCGTTTGCGACCTCTGATGTCTAGGTTAGGGAGACAAAATGACAAATGACACCACGCACGAAAATCAGTAAACGTGCAACGGTGTGGGGGGCGTTCAATGGGGTCAGGGCGGATATCCGACGGTTCGCACCCACACACCTTGGCCAACCCAGTTAGATTCCCCTAGCCAGGGCTTAACCTTTACCCCGTCAGTGGTGAATAATATCACAACCAGTTCGAGACCGGCCAGCCTCGCTTTGCCTTGACCAACCCACACTGACCAATGCGGTGAAGTATGATCAAGTCAACCCCCACCTCCCGTGGCAAATGACTACAGCATTTCGTAGTGCATCGGCACATACATTGACTCTCTGTCTGTGTGTGTGTGTGCCTGTGCATTATAATATCGATGTGTAGGTTATAATATACTGTGTTGCAAGATAACTGGCAGAGGTTTCGGGCTAAGTTTACATTAAATCGTCGTTAATTAATGCGTTGGTCACCTGCTAATAGGAAACTTGATCATTTAAACGAATTATTGGATAACGAATCCTTTACACGTAAGTGGCTTTAGACACGTGCCAATTTTAAATCTGCACGGCAACAGATTTGCACACACATCAGTAGTGAAGCGATGCTGTAGATGTACATTAAACGCAACTACAATAATTTCTCCCTGAATTTAAAAATGAAATAAAAACCATTCACGGCACAAAATTGTCAGAATAACGATCTTATCAGCCACGTTGGCCAAAAACGCGATTAATTACCAACTTAATGTCGACCTACAAATGAATAATAAGCATTTGGGAAGAAATGGCTACATCGTGATTAATAACATCGGTGTGAATTTGCTCCTGGCACAGATATGCACCAAACATAAACTTGTACTTTAAAATCCCTAGGCTGTAAAGGATGTTGTTGCTGTTGTTGTTTCATTTAAAGCATCGTGTTAATTAATTGCAACGTGTCAGCATCACCTGCAGAAAGCAACGCGTGTGAGAATGTGGGATTTCATTCCGCAAATTACGGAGCCGAAACAAAGCGATGCAATTCTTGCTCAAAACGCAATAGATTTTTTTTCACCCCCCTTAATTTAAATGCAACTCTTGACAAAAAACACACACAAACAACACACAATTCTGCTTAAACAACCAAAACAAAGCTCATGCAGCATTTTTTTTTCAAAATAAAAACACGCACAATATTCTAAGCACCGCCGTTAAAACGCAGCAAACAGCGGCACATCAGCAAAACCCTCGGTGCTCACCCACCACCACCGCAATTAAAACCGCACAATCCCTCAAGGCACAAATGAGCTCACCGACAAGGATTCACCTCGAGCAGGCTATAAGACCAACCAACCAACCAAAAGGTATAAAATTTAAATAAAAACCGAGATAATAAAAAAATCGCCACCACCACCGCAACCAACACAAACTCACCAGCGAGTCGGCCTCACGCCTGGCCAAGATGGCGAAAGCCGCATCAAGCCTGTGGCAGCGACACCGCGTCCTGCCGGGCCGCGCCGCCACGGGCGCGCACCCTCTGGCCGACCAACCCCCGCCTCGGCCGGCAGAGCTCTCTATCCGAGCGCCGTGGTCTACCCCCGCCGCTAGGCCCGAGGCCCAGGCCGCAGAGCCTGCGGCGTTGCCTGACGCCGCGCGGCCGCCCGATGTCGTCCCGAAGCCGGCGGACGTGCTAAGAAATGGGGGGGTGGGGGGTGTGGGTGTGAGGTGTTCAGTCAAACTAGGGCCGCGTTCTCTGCCGACATCCGCTCCTGTTGCTGCTGTGTAAGATAATGCTGGCTGGATGGTGATGGTGATGATGCTGGTGTCGATGAAATAATAAAAATAATGAAACAAGTGGTCTGGTGGTGGTGGTGGCGGTGTTGCGTTTTTTTTGTGTTAATCTGCAAGACGGGGGAGGCGTTCCGCGAATGTAAATCGATCCGTGATTAATTAACGAGCCGAGCCGCTGCGAGGGGAGGCAGCACACGGATTGCTCTGCGAGCGCAATGCAACGGCGATTGATTTCTCACGTCCATCAGCAAACTCCACTCCCCTTCCCTCCACACCCACCACCCTCCGTTGGGTCTCGTTCGTTCGCCGCGAGATAACAGAAATTAACCCGCTCCTCGGTCCTCTCACAACAACAACAAAACCCATCACCCACCTAACCATCACATTCGTACGATGCATTTCATTCGTGCCTTGCTGAAACAAACGAAATAGTCACGCGGAATGTCCTCCATCCTTTGTGTCGTTCCTAAGCCGCTTGTCGTAATCATTGGATTTGTTGTGCAGAGGCGCCGGTGACTGCTGTGGAACTTATCACCGTGGTCTTAGATTTGTTTTTGTCGGTAAAGTCACGTAGGTAAAACATAAAAAAAAAAAATCTTCTTGGTTCTTTCGGTAAAGTCACGTAGAAGGGAAGTAATAAAATAATAAAAATAAAACATAATAAAATATTAAAAATAAAACATAAAATATTTATTATTAAAACATTATAAAATATTTATTATGTTTTATTTTTAATATTTTATTATGTTTTATTTTTATTATTTTATTACTTCCCTTCTACGTGACTTTATCGAAAGAACCAAGAAGATGAATCCCTGCAGTCACGAAAGCTTTAAATCGAAATAAAAATAATATAAATAAAACTATTTGTGATGTATTATTTTGTTTTATTTATATTATTATTTTTAAGTATTATTTTGTTTTATTTCTATTATTATTTTATTTTTACCTACGTGACTTTACCGAAAAAAACCTGAGTATGAATCCTTGCAGTCACGAAAGCTTCAAATCTAGAATTATCACCGTGGATTTGTCGCTAGTTTCGTGGAATTGCTGAACGCGCAGCATTATCGCCACCTAACTTCGGGCTATTCCTCTAATCGTAAGGGTCATTAAATATTTATCTGCAATTCTATTTTCTATTCTGGCGCGTGGCGGCAATTTGCGGGTGTTCTGGAGATTAAATGCCAATCATGTCGCGATCTGCTTGCCGGCCACGACGAGAGAGTCTTCAGGGAGACGGAGGAGTTTGTGTCGTTTTGCCGCTCTTCCTCCGATGAATGAGCAAAGACCCACTGGATGAATTGATACGGTCCGTATCTTGGGTTTCATGGCCACAGTTCGCACTCCTGTGGCTTGTCTTTTGTGTATCTCGATCTGTGCCCAGGCCCTGTGTATCTCAATTAGCACGGTTGGCTACGTACGTTGCGAAAGAAGTTTAACATTTACTAACAGGGTTTTTCCCCTTTTTTCTGGCAACAAAACTGACACCTTTTGCAAGGAATCATGCTTACATTAACCACAATACTTGCAGTCAAATGCAAACAAAAAACAATACTCTGATCATTTATGCATTGTCTTTGAAACTGATTGGTCCACACCAGAGACAGCTTTCTTTAGAGCCTCGTCTCATTTAGTGTTCGACCAGATGACGCCAATGCATTAATTATCAGAGTATTCTTTTTTGTTTGCATTTGACTGCAAGTATTGTGGTTAATGTAAGCATGATTCCTTGAAAAAAGTGTCAGTTTTGTTGCAAGAAAAAAGGGGGAAAACCCTAGTAGTATATTTTGGTACTGGCAAAAGAGGTCCCATGATTTAAGTTCAACATTGTCCATACCAATGTGTGTACGGCCCACATTGAGTTGCATGGCCACAACCGCACGGCTGGGGCTTTGCCTTTTAATGCATCTCTTTTGGGATCTCTACGTTCTCGTGTGCGTGCCAATATGTTCACAAGCAAGGTGCCCAATGTTCAGCTTCATGCAGCATTATCGCGCCCCAACTTAGGGGCTGTTCCTCCAATCGTGCGAGGCGTGAAATATTTATTTGCCATTCAAATCGATACATGCGTGCGCCAGCAATATATTCCGGAGCCAAGATGCCCAATGTCGAGGTCTGCCAGCCACAAGAGAGTTTGTGTCGTTTTGCCGTTCTGCCGGTGTTGAACGGGCGCCAACAGTGGTTTACGAAACGGTCCACCAATTCGGTGGTGGTGTCAGTGGTTAACTCTTCATCCGTTGTGTGGGCTGACTGACGGACCCCCAGTCGCATATATAGCCGAGGAACTGTGGAATGAACGCCTTCGAACAAAATGACCGTGAGAAGGGCAAAGTGGCTTCACGCTGTGAAAATACAAAAAACGAGGCCACCTCGCCCATCTGCCAGACTCCCCCCCACCTCCCCGACCGTACCAAATGTATCTAATTAAAACATATACAGTGTATGTGTTATTCAATTAAATAAACACGGGAAAGAATATAGTGGCTCGTGCAAATATATACTCTTATTTGCAAAATATAATTTTAAGTCAATGTTGAATTGTGTTATGAAGGGGATGTTGCATGAAAAAAAGGCAGCTATTATATATATTTTTTTAAGATCACACAGCGTTCTTGGCGAATGTTTAAATGGGGCTTCATGTATCTATGACCATATTACCCGTGATTTATACTAACCGTGGAAGCTGTGATAATATCTGTGGCTCTTTTGATGCCTATACCTCGTGATTTGCTTCCTGTGGATAAGTGGTAGTAAAATTCACGGACAACCCCGTACACAAGAGGATCCGATGTTCAATCCCACGCACCTCCGGTGAGCACGTTTGGCTACGTACGGTGCGAAAGAAACATATGCGGATTTCTATATTTGGGGGGGGGCGTTGCCCCTCCGTGCCCCCCACCTCCCCCCCCGTAAACTCAGCCCATGGAGAGAACTTCAACATACATAACATCTCGATTTAAAGCTTTCGTGACTGCAGGGATTCATCTTCTTGGTTCTTTCGGTAAAGTCACGTAGAAGAAAAAATAATAATTATAAAAATAAAACATGATAAAATAATTCTCACGACGTTTCGGCCACAACGCAAGCAGCCGTCCTCAAGAAGATACATAACATCGTCATGGATTACAGGAGAACTCAATACATCATTTGGGTCATTATTGTACAAAAGCCACCACATTATTGATGGCCTTTGTACATAATAACACTGTGTTCACCGTTATTATCATTATCATTTTTGTAGGCTGACAAGGCAATTGAGTGGAAATTGATACAGCCCTCTAAACTCTCACAAAACGAGGTCTAAATAGAAAATAGTAACAATAGAATGCATACAATAACATTCCATGAAGTAACAAAATGCGTACAAGTGTAGTGAGACAAAAATACAACATTGGGTTAAACGATGCACTGGTTCTTCAAATTGATGATTACGATGACCATGATACATTGAATTGTGTGTGCGAGTCACTCATGCAAAGGTACGCTAATGTTACATTTCATTTAATGGAACAAAATCAACAGAATTAATAAAACGAGATGGAAAAAAATAGGCTTGAAACTCCCCTCCCTTTCCCCAGCCGCCCATGCAGTAGACTCCCTGCTTCAGTTCAAATCCGGGTCAAAATCTTATTGTCTTCCCTCTGTGAATAACCGCCTCCCTCTCTCTAAAATAAATGAGCCGCAATGTTTCCACGCAGTCCTCGAGATGCGGTCGCGTTCAGACGCCGATCGGCGTGACATTACTTTTATTCGCCGGCTCTCACGCTTTGTTAGGCGTAATGTCCAGCGCTATGTCGAGTAAAATTGTAAAAAAAAAAAAATACACAGTTTCGTATATTTGTCCACTGGAGTTGATTGGCTCCAATCGGGGTGGTGGAGGAGGGTATGGATAAAAAAAATTACATTTGGAGGAACCGACGGATGGTCACGTCCGAAGGATGTTTGCGTTCCAGGTGTACTGTATGTACAAAAAAAGCGAATAGCAAAATTGCCAATACTAGTGCGTAAAGCGGAAGGCTGCCCATTTTTAAATACCACATCCCAATGGACGATGCACTACCCACATGAAAATCAGTCTTGAGATGCTGTCAGATTTTTCACTGAATGTCAAAGCAACAATTATGCAAGAACATGTATTCCCCACTCCCCACCACACACTAACATCGAGTAAAGTGGAATTATTATATTAGAAACTAGGTATGCGGAAAAAGATTTTTGTTTTAATTGGCAGCCCACCGCTTAAATCAGGAATGTTGATGGAATTATAGCATCCAGAATCATAACAATTAATCATATCTCTGGAGCGAGTGCCTCATTATAGGCCAAATTATTACCGCTTGTTTAACATCGCTACACTCCGTTCAGGCAAAGGTGCAGCCCTGCAATTGCTTGCTCACGCCACTGCTGGCGGAAAGGGGCACTGGAAAGCGCTTCTAGCGGATGCGGTTTGGCCGACTCATCCAGGCTGGCCAGACGTCATTGGAAGAGGTGGGAGCCGCCCGTACTTCGCCCCACCACACATGACCTGCCGATCGACTGCGGTGAGCCCATGTACGCTACCGGTTGGGTAGGCCTCGGCAAGGTAAGGTAATTGTACCCTTTTTACCGGGTAAAAGGGTAAAGGTGTCGACATGCCAAGGGGTAAGGGTAAAGGGTAGGGTAGGAGGTAGGCTCGTTGCTTTTTAAATCCTTTATATTAAGTTCGCATGCTTGCTTGCTTGCTTGCGTGCTTGCTTACGACCGTGCAAATCTTTCGGTCGTTTTTTAACCCACTTCCCGTGATCCAATCGAGCTGACATTTTCCACACAGACTCGTTGTGCCAGACAATTAATGTTCGTGAAAAAAAATTCCCAAAATTTTACAATTTTTTGGCAAAAAAAAATATTTTACATATATTCAAAAGAACTCATTCTTGGCTATGGCTGAACGTCACAGTATAAGAGCCCAGAGCGTAACCCCTCCACAGGCCGTGGCGGAGTAGCGCAGTTGGTAGCGCTCTCGCTTCCCATGCCAAAGGTCGCGGGATCGATCCCCGCGTCCTCCACAGGCGAATATATTTTAAATCCTTTATATTAAGTTCGCTGCCACGCATATAAAGGATTTATAGTGAAAAACTTTGTTTTTACGGGTTATACTTATTACCTTTTACCTTACCTGCTAAAGGGTAAAAGGTAGGGTAGAGTGATTGTATTGTGGTAAGGTAAAGGGTAGGGTAAATGTAGG